AACTACCTGAAGGGGGTTTTCATTTGGGACAAAAGAACTGGCGGGAAGCCATTTTAATGAGATGAGGGAATATGTGGCAAAAAAAAGCAAGGAGTTTGGGGGAGAGGTTTGTCCCCCAAGGGTAACAGGAAAAATTTGAAAAAACAGGATGACCCATGGTTTCCCCAAAAGGGTTGCAGGGAGGCAAAAACCAATTGCTGGGGAAGGAAAGAAATATAGAAGGAAAAGGGACCCGGAAATAAGGAGAACATCGTAGAGCCAGAAACGAATATGCACAGATAAAAAGGGGGGCCCCCAAAACAAATGAAAATACATAGCGGGCGAAAGCCAAATCTGCCCCCAAAACCGTTGAAACAGCCACATCGGGGGAAAACATAAAGTAAAGGACCAGGTAATCAGACTAATGAAGGAAGGAGGAGAGAAAAACAAGAAATGACCGGGAAGTTTTGGAAGAACTCAACAAGAGATTCAAAAAAGGGTTTTTCACAGAGGAGACAGGGGGGACTCCAGAAAGACGGAGAGGTGGGGAAAAACCACCAAGGCGGGACACGTGCCCCACAACCGAGGAAGAAGTGAAGAGGCTTCTGAGGACCCTAGATACCTCAAAGGCAATGGGGCCAGAAAACCATCTCCCCATGGGTATTGAAGGGGGAGCAGGGGCGCTATGGTACCCCTAACAACAATATTCAATACATCAATCGAAAAAGGGAGATTGCCTGAAGGAAAGGGAAGACAGCAAATGTATCCCAATTTTTAAAAAAGGGGAAGACAGCCCATGAAGAAATTAAACTACAGACCAGTTTTCACTGACATGTATAGTAGGGCAAAACCCAATGGAGAAGTTTTATCAGGAGAAGAGTGGTGGAACACCTAGAAAGGAAAATCTCATCAACAGCAGCCAACAAAGGTTTCCCGGGACGGGAAACCCCGTGCACAAAAACCCACTGGAGTTTTTTATGACATGGTGACAGCAGTAAGACAAAGAGAGAGGGGTGGGTGGATTTTCATTTTTTTTTGGGCTGCAAAAAGGCGTTTTACACGTTCCACACAAGAGATTGGGGCAAAAACGAGGGCCCCGCAGGGATAACAGGGAAGGCAATACAATGGGTTTGGGGAAAACTTGTCAAGGGAAAACAGCAGGGGAGTCATTGGGAAAGTGGCGAGGGGGTCCCGAGTGGGCACCTGTGACGAGCGGGTCCCACAGGGGTCGATCCTAGGACCAGTGCTATTTTTGGTATATGTGAACGACATGACGGAAGGGTTAGACTCAGAAGTGTCCCTGTTTTTGCAGATGAGTTGAAGTTAATGAGGAGAATTAAATCTGATGAGGACCAGGCAGGACTTCAAAGAGACCTGGACCGACTGGACACCTGGTCCAGCAAATGGCTTCTCGAATTTAATTCTGCCAAATGCAAAGTCATGAAGATAGGGGAAGGGCACAGAAGACCACAGACAGAGTATAGGCTAGGTGGCCAAAGACTGCAAACCTCACTCAAGAGAAAGATCTTGGGGTGAGTATAACACCAAGCATGTCTCCGGAAGCACACATCAATCAGATAACTGCTGCAGCATATGGCCGCCTGGCAAACCTGAGAACAGCATTCCGATACCTTAGTAAGGAATCGTTCAAGACACTGTACACCGTGTATGTCAGGCCCATACTGGAGTATGCAGCACCTGTTTGGAACCCGCACTTGATAAAGCACGTCAAGAAACTAGAGAAAGTACAAAGGTTTGCGACAAGGTTAGTTCCAGAGCTAAGGGGAATGTCCTATGAAGAAAGATTAAGGGAAATTGGCCTGACGACACTGGAGGACAGGAGGGTCAAGGGAAACATGATAACGACATATAAAATACTGCGTGAAATAGACAAGGTGGACAAAGACAGGATGTTCCAGGGAGGGGACACAGAAACAAGAGGCCACAATTGGAAGTTGAAGACACAGATGAGTCAGAGAGATATTAGGAAGTATTTCTTCAGTCATAGAGTTGTAAGGCAATGGAATAGCCTAGAAAATGACGTAGTGGAGGCAGGAACCATACACAGTTTTAAGACGAGGTTTGATAAAGCTCATGGAGCAGGGAGAGAGAGGGCCTAGTAGCAACCGGTGAAGAGGCGGGGCCAGGAGCTAGGACTCGACCCCTGCAACCACAAATAGGTGAGTACAAATAGGTGAGTACACACGCACACACACATGCATGCACATACAACAGGCCAAGTGTCTAATCGACATGTGCCTAGGACCAAATGGTAACTAACACCCCACACACACACCACACACACACACACACACACACACACACACACACAAAACACACACACACACACACACACACACACACACACACACACACACACACACACAGACACACACACACACACACACAGGATTTGGAGTTGCGACAGTCAAGGGGTTAAGGACCCCAATGGAAATAAATTATACAATCCTTGTGACTCATTGATTTTCTTGGGTTATCCTGGGTGTCTAACCCTCTGAAGTTAATTGTTTCTTGGTAATTGTTTCTCGTTAAGCCACACCAACAACAGTCTCTCCACATCTTTGAGTAGTGCAGCTGATGGTGGTGCAGCAACAGCTGACGGTGGTGCAGCAGCAATTGACCATGGTACAGCAGCAGCTGACTGTGGTACAGCAGCAGCAGCAGCTGACTGTGGTGCAGCAACAGCTGATGGTGGTGCAGCAACAGCTGACGGTGGTGCAGCAGCAGTTGACCATGGTACAGCAGCAGCAGCAGCAGCAGCAGCAGCAGCTCACCGTGGTAGCAGCAGCAGCAGCAGCAGCAGCTCACCGTGGTACAACAGGAGCAGCAGCTGACCGTGGTACAGCAGCAGCAGCAGCTAACTGTGGTACAGCAGCAGCAGCAGCTAACCATGGTACAGCAGCAGCAGCAGCTGACGGTGGTGCAGCAGCAGCTGACGGTGGTGCAGCAGCAGTTGACCATGGTATGATAGTATTTCGATAGTATTTCTCACCCTTTTTACCACAGGGTTGGAACTAGAAGCTTTCTTTGGGCCCCTGGTGGCTTATTTAGCAGTTACAAGCACTAAAAACAATGGAATAATACAAAATTTATCGAATGTATGCGTGCAACCATCCGCCCTGGCTTGTGAGCAATTGCACTAGGTGAGCTTAGGCGCTCTGGCCATACGGACTGCGTTCAGGATGAATGATGTAAGTCGAGTTTTTCTTTGAAGGTTGTGAGAAATTTTTTACGCTGAAACGCTTTATAAGTCGATGTTATCTTAAGATGAGGCATTCGTAAGTCGGGGGTTCACTGTATCTATATGTTTGGACAGTTTAAGGGTTAAATATGACACTAATATCAACTCTACGGCTTATTTACCAATCACAGTTCATTTAATATGGCATAATAAACAATATTAATAACATAGAAAAATGATATATACTCGAATGAATAAAATATGTCATTACTTATGTTAGGAGTGGTGATTGTGTTGTTGGGTTTATCAGGGTCACTGACAGCATAAGCCGTAAAGTGGTGGTGGTGGCAGCAGCAGCGGTCACCACCACTAGTCACACTGAAACAATGTATGTAATTTATAAATAAGAAATGGAGTGTGAGCAAAGTAACATTTATGAAAGGGTTCAGGGAAACCGGCAGGCTGGACTTGAGTCCTGGAGATGGGAAGTACAGTGCCTGCACTCTGAAGGAGGGGTGTTAATGTTGCAGTTTAAAAACTGTAGTGTAAAGCACCCTTCTGGCAAGACAGTGATGGAGTGAATGATGGTGAAAGTTTTTCTTTTTCGGGCCACCCTGCCTTGGTGGGAATCGGCCAGTGTGATAATAAAAAAAAAATATTTACACTTTAATTTATAAATAAGAAATATTTACACTTCAATTTATAAATAAGATTTCTTTTTTTCAACAAGTTGGCCATCTCCCACTTAGGCAGGGTGACCCAAAAAGAAAGGCTATACAGTAAAAGGGGTTACTAGCCCATTGTTCCCTGCATTTTAGTTGACTTTTACAACTTTACAATTTATAAATAAGAACTATTTACACTTCCCTTGGAGGAGATGCTGGCATTGGTTTCGGGTGGTGGAAGATATGCGGCGGCATATGTTGTCAGTGGCCCAATATACCTCCAACAACATTGGAGGAGTTAGTTTCATGTCCTTTTTCTTTTGCTTAATCGCTTAACTTACTACACTGTTAATGCTACACTTTGTCACTGGCTGGCGCTATAGCTTTTATCGACTCCTTCTGCTTTAGTATCGTACATATTGTAGAATCACTGAAGAAGGCACATTCTCCCCTCTCTCTTCCTCCTCCGCTTTGGTATTTTGCAACGAGTTCTTTCTTGAATTCTATTGTGTTTCTCACCTTCTTTACCAAAAGGCTGGCACTAGGAGATTTCTTTTGGCCCATGGTGGCATATTTAGCAGTCACACACAATAAACAACTGCAAAAAACAATGGATTATTTTGAAATGTTTCGTATGACCTCGCAGGGTAATGTTCACTCACTGAGAAACAGTGCCACACTCACTCAGAATGGTGTGTGGGAGGCATTTTATGTGCGCATGGGTACTCGGGCGTGTTCCATATGACCAACGAAACCAGAGGGAATTAATGAAAACAGAAACTATATTTTGATGAAAAAAGTCGGCGATAACTGAAAATCACGAAATCAGAGGCTAATGATTACCAGGGGTCATCTGGTGGTGGTGGACCTTCTATTCTGCTGGAGTTTTTGTTGCTTGCCAAAAAGGTATGTCCTCTGAGGCATCTTTCAAGCTCATCTTGAGACAAAGGGATTTATAGGTCTAGTATTTACTCATTTTCTGTCTTTCCAGGTGCCATGAAATGAAACTTCAACAATATATGCTTCTTGGAATATTCAAAGTTTATTTACCTATAATTAGCACATTTTTTCAGCTCTTTGTGTAAAAGAACATGTGATCAATTTATTGATAAAGTATAAATTAATAAAATGATTGCTATTTGCTATATATACAGGTGGGCGATGATGTGAGACAAGACATGCTTGCACTCCAAGTCATCTCTATCTTCAAGAACATCTTCCAAACTGTTGGCTTGGACCTGTTCCTCTTTCCCTACTGTGTTGTGGCTACCTCTCCTGGGGTAAGTCTTGGGTATAAGTAAAATTTATGAAGAGATATGTTGTTTTTTTCATTGTTTTAAATAGTAGTAGATTGTAATACAGTACATCATAATGTAAATTGTTCCATTGTAATACCACATTTCATTGTTTTAAATAGTACTAAACTGTAATACATCTTAATTTAAATTATTTTAAATTGTTACACTGTAATACTGTAATCTTTATTTACTAATTCAGTAATATAATAAGTCTCTGCTAGACTTAACAAAACCATGTTGCATCACTTGATATAATATTCAGTTCTCCTGTACTCACTGTAACTCATCTAATGACCATATGAACTGTTCTTTATTTAATCTTTAAGTTTGCCCAAAGTGCTCAGCATACAAAGGGGCTTTTGCCATGTACACCCAACTATTATATTCCTCTGTACAACCATGTAATTTGTCAAAACAAAAATTTTAATCTTAATATATACTAGGTATTTACAAGTCCCATTTATGTTTCTAGAAGTCCACCATTGTATGATACTTGAAGAAGCATGGATTCATACAGAGTGCCACCCCACATTGCTAACATATGAATCATGTCTTTTTGCACTTGGGGTTGCCTTGTAGTGTAAGCACTCACAACACACACTTTCTGTGAATACTTCTTCTTTGGGGTAGATAGTATCGTTATCAGGCAGTGACAGTTAGGGGTGACAGGGCGTTGTTCTGGGGTGACAGGTGTCGTACCATACTTTTTTCACTGTCTGCTTGATGACATTGAGGGTGAATTCTACATATCATTGTCACTTCCCAGTCTTTATTTTGTACGTGTTGAAGGCATTGAGCATTGCAGTGTCTACAAGGTGGAAAAAGAATGTAGGATGATGAATGTGCGATGGTGAGTGTGAGAGGGTAACTGTGAGAGGGTGAATGTAAGAGGGTGACTGTGTGAGAGGAAGAATATGTGAGGATGAGTGTGAGAGGGTGAATGTAAGAGGTTGAGTTTAACAGAGAATGTGAGAGGGTGGGTGTAAGGGTGAATGTGTGAGGGTCAGTGTGAAAGGGAGAGTGTCAGAGGGTGAACGTAAGAGGGTGGATGTGAGACGGTGAATGTGAGAAGGGTGGGTGTAAGGGTGAATGTGTGAGGGTGAATGTGAGAAATTGGCATCTTTTGAAATTTATGTGAAATTGCCCAAATTGTCAATTTCTGACCACTTTATTGGGTAGTGGAAATCGGTAAATGGGCAAATTCTTGTACTCAGTCGATAGAACAAATGGAGTTCTAGGGAGATAGCTATGATTTTAGTCAACTGCAACATTGGAATTGGCCGAAAATAGGGCTCAAAGTGGGTGAAATTGCCGATGCGTGTATATCTTTGAGACTGCTAACTTCGCGAGAGCATAATTCCATAAGTTTTCCATCAAATTTCATACTTTTGGTGTCATTATTATCGGAAAAATATTCTCTATCATTTCATAAGTTTTTTTTTTTTTTTTTTTTTTTTTTTTTTTTTTTTTTTTTTTTTTTTTTTTTTTTTTTTTTGAGAATTTTTCGACCCTGAGCACAAATTTGGGAAAGGACTTCTCGGTCCTCAAAGGGTTAATTGATAAATTACACACAGTACGTCAATGGGAAGCACTTCACAGCTTCTTTTAGGCTTTGAAGAACAGCCAACATCAATAATTTTGCACTTTGGGGCATTTATTAAGCAAAATTTTGGGTTATTTCCAGACCACAGTAAACCATGGATAACTGAAACCATGGAAAACAAATCCGTTGATACAGGAGTTCTATTGTATATTTATTCATTAGCTGTGTATAAATTTGTAATGAAACAACATTATATAATTTATTGGCTTATGATTATGCAATTTTTAAAGCATTTCCCTCCATTTTTTCTAACTTTCTCACCCCTAGTGTGGTGTGATCGAATGTGTTCCCAATGCCAAGTCTCGAGATCAACTTGGTCGCAGCACTGACACAGGCATGTATCAGTACTTCCTCGATCTTTATGGCGATGAAAACTCTCACAAGTTTCAACAAGCACGTACAAATTTTGTAAAGTCAATGGCAGCATATTCACTGGTTGGATTTCTGCTGCAGATTAAAGATCGTCACAATGGAAACATTATGCTGGACACTGATGGTCATATTATTCACATTGGTAAGAGATATTTTCCACTTTATCTTGTGTTATGTTTGTACAGTAGGGCCCCACTTATATGGCAGGTGAGGTTCCGGGCTACTGCCAGAAAGCAGAAAGCCATTTTTTTCCACTTATGAATGCATATAAATGCCAGATAATAAGTTTACACTAACATATATTAAGTTAGCAATGGAACCAGGCATTAAAAACAAAAATTAAAATACACACACAGTACACCCATTTTATTTGTAGGAAGTCAGGTTTGGGAAGTATGGTACCCAGTCAGGGCAGCCCACCCCACCCAACCCACACATAATATAAACAAACCAGGTGAACACATCTGGTTTTTGTTTGTTTTTTATTATACCATAATACAAACACTTTACATTGTGTACAAGTTGTCCCCACATTAATACAGTAGAAAAAATAGAGAGAAACACTCCCATTCTCATGTAACACCATTTTTAGAAGAAATGACGCTTTGAGCGAAGGCATACGAAAGGAATAATTTTCTAGTTATCCCCAGTAATATTTTAGTGTACACATTTTCTCTGATGTTTGCCTGGCTACCACATTTCATATTTATGTTAATTTATTCTACTATGGGGTGTATTTATAATGTTTATTTGTTATGTAGCATATTTATTATATATTTTGAAAAAAAATATCATAGATGGATTAATGGAAATGTCTATATTAACATAATATACAACATTTAATGTGCCCAAGAGATTACTTATTATTATTATTCTTAATATGGCATCAAGAGTAGAGACACTCTTAGTGATTTTAACCCTTAAACGGTTCAAACATATATATACATTCACTCGCGCAGCGCCCCGAGTATTTTGAAAAATAAAAAAATCTTTTTTTTTTATTGAAAAAAAGAGCACATTTTTCTAAGTGTTATAGGATAAAAAAAAAATTCAGAGTCAGTATTTACCGAGATATGAGGCCAAGAAGTTGGCACTGGATGCTCACATAATAAGTAATAATATGTTTTCTTGAAGCATGAAAAACAAAGTCCACCCCTGACAGTGACATGATAAGGGGAGAGCTGACGTTTGATGAGCATACACAAGGGTGGGGAGGGTGCAGCTGATAAGAAAAGATTAGATGACCATCCCCCTCGCTTTGTTTTTGCTGGTACACAAACATTTCTGTCTGTCTGTCAAGCTCCCTGTCTATCTGTCTAGCTGTCTGTCTCAGAGAGAGCCACAAGACTGCGTCATCACCTTTATTCACATCTTAAAGCAGAGTATAGCACTTTGTCTGGATTTTTGGGTTATCCTAGGTAATTTATACTACGTATACTTGTATTTATGTGTACCTGTGAGACAGATAGACAAAGACAGATTGAAAGAGATAGAAAGATACAGGTAGACAAAGCCAGAGACAGACAGACACAGATAGACAGAGACAGAGACAGATAGACAGAGACAGATAGAGACAGACAGATAGAGATAGACAAAGACAGAAACAAATAGACAGAGATAGACAAAGACAGAGACAGGTAGAGACAGATAGACAGAGACAAAGATTGACAGACCCTAAACTTGTGGTTAACATCACTTTCCTCTTAAAAGAGAAGTGTTAATATGACATTACATCAGTGAATCCTTGGTGTTTGCCACACTGTTTGCTCTAGCTGGCACTCAGCTTAACTGGCGCTCCCACAAGGTACTAAGTGGTCCCAGATTTTTTTAATACTGCGCACACCGAGTGTTGAGACCAATTCTATGCTGACCAGGCATCTCAGGCCAGTCGTGCCAAATTTGGAGGCAGGAAAAATAAAATGTATACATATATACGTTTGGGGCGCTACACGTAAGAACGTATATATACGTTTGGACCGTTTAGGGGTTAATGTGTACCTGCACACCAACACAATGTGTAAGTATATTTAGGTACAGGTACACGTAAGTACGGTTATCAGAGTACATATAAAATCTGCAATAACTTTAACCCTTTTAGAGTCCAAGGCCAAAATCTGAAGGGGTGCCCCAGTGTCCAAGAAATTTTGAAAAAAAAAAAAAAGAAATTATTTTCTTTTACAGAATTAAAGATAATATTTTTATGAAGGTAATAAAAACAAAATAAAAAAATTCTGATCAGTACTTACCGAGATACAGCGGCGGGAAGGTGACCCAAAATGACCACATGGTGGCAACATCAGTGACTTCCGCAAAATTGCATTTTTTTTATTTTATGTTTTTTACTTTTTTCTTTTCTATTTTTTTCTTTTTCTAATAACATTTGTGGCCTGTGAGACCAGTATAATGTATATTGTATAAGTGTACACTCATTGTATTCAACACAATAACTGCACTAATTTGTTTATCATCATATTGCTTACAAAACTTGTCTACAAGTTTATTGTAAACAAAATGATGAAAATATTAGTGTGGCTATTGTGTTGAATACAACGGTACCATATGGTACAGTGGTACCATATGGTACAGTGACACCATATGATACAGTGGTACCATATGGCAGAATATGGTACACTGGCACCATTTGGTACAATGGTACCATATGATACAATGGTACCTTATGGTACCATATGGTGCAATGTACCATATAGTACATTGTACCATATGTTACAATGATACCATATGGTTCATTGTACCATATGGTACATTGTACCATATGGTACTATATGGTACTGTTGTATTCAACACAATAAACACACTAATATTTTCATTATTATCTCATTTACAATAATTGTTTACAACAAAAATATGCAAAAATATTGTATATTAGTAATGTTCTATTATATATTTACAAATGTACAGCCACTCGACATGTTACTTGAGGTGGATGACAAAACGCTTTGTCTTGGAAACTGCAGAGTCACTAGCTAGCTTGCGTTGTCACTCACTCAGTCTTGGCTGGTGCATGGTGGTATTAACACCTACTGACCATATGGTACATGGTATCATATGTTACAGGGTACCATATGGAACATTATACTATATGGTATAAGGTACCATATGGTACAGGATACCATATGGTGCAGGATACCATATGGTGCAGGGTACCATATGGTGCAAGATACCATATGGTGCAGGGTATCATATGGTGCAGGGTACCATATGGTGCAGGGTACCATATGGTACAGGGTACCAATGGTACAGGACACCATATGGTACAGATACAGGGATCCCTATGGAAATAATTCACCCTGACTTTTCTGGGTTATCCTAGGATTTTATACATATGCTGCAATGTATGATAATCTATGTAACTGTATTTGTGTACACCTGAATAAACTTACTCAAGCACATGTGGCATCGTAAGTTTATTTAGGTATGCACAAATAAAATTACATAGATTATCATACATAGCAGCATATGTTTGGAGAACCTAGGATAACCAAAAAAAGTCAGACAGACTTATTTCCATTAGGGTCCCTGTACCCTGTACCATATGGTACAATGTACCATATGGTATAATGTACCATATGGTACAATGTACTATATGGTACATTGTACCATATGGTGCCATTGTACCATAGGATCCCATGGTAGAAAAAGTGTTATGCTTAGATTCCACTCACATGACAGGAAAAAAGACTTAATTATTGCATCTATTAACCCTTTGAGGGTTTCGGACATACTAGTACGGCTTACGACCCAGGGTTTTTGACGTATTAGTACGCCTAAATTCTAGCGCCCTCAAATCTAGTGGGAGAAAGCTGGTAGGCCTCCATATGAAAGAATGGGTCTATGTGGTCAGTGTGCATGGTATAAAAAAAATCCTGCAGCACACAGTGCATAATGAGAAAAAAAAAACTTTGACCGTTTTTTTGGAATAAAACAGCGACTTTGCACTGTATTTTTGTATGGTATTTATTGTTGTATTCTAGTTTTCTTGGTCTCATTTTATAGAATGGAAGGCATATCATAGAAATTGAGATGATTTTGACTGGTTTTACAATGAAAAGTACCTTGAAATTGAGCTCAAAATAGCAGAAATGTTCGATTTTTACCAAAGTTCAAAAGTAAACAAATCATGCCAAGCGTCTAATATACGTCAACTGGTGAGTCTAATATTCTTTTGCAAGTGCGCCAATATGATTCATACCATTTTTTTACACTAATGCAGTAGTCTGCATAACAGTAAATCTTATATTTTTTGTGAGAATAAAAATTCAAAGTGGAAAGCAAAAGAATGTAAGAGGAACCTTGAGACGTGACTAATGAACAGAGGAAATGTCATTTTAGTGCCAGGAATGTATTTCTTGTTTGTTCTGGACCCTATTCAGAAATTGGCATCGTTTGAAATTTGTGTGAAATTGGCAAAATTGCTAAATTCTGACCACTGTACTGGGTAGTTGAAATTGGTAAATGGGTGGTTTCTTGCACTCATTCAATAGAAAAAATGGAGTTCTAGCGAAATATTCATGTTTTTTGTTGACTAGTACAGTAGAACTGGCCGAAAATGGGGCTCAAAGAGGGCAAAATCGCCGATCCGTAAACATCGCCGAGACCGCTAACTTCGCGAGAGCATAATTCCGTAAGTTTCCTATCAAATTTCATATTTTTGGTGTCATTATGATCGGGAAAAGATTCTCTATCTTTTCATAAGAAAAAATTATTTTTTTTTTTTTTTAAATTTGGCCGACCCTGAGAACGAGTCTCGGAGAGGGCCTGTCGACCCTCAAAGGGTTAAAGTAAAGAAAGAGGTATACATAAACGAGTGTCTTACCAAAAAACGTCAGAACCTCCTGTATAGAGTCAGAAAACTTAAGCGGGAGAATAATGACACAATACACCAATGCTTCACACAGGATGGGAAAATTCTAGTTAGGAAAACAAATGTAGGTCAACTGTACACAATCATGAACGAGAATGATCTATCACGATTTCTCAGGGATACTAATCTTACAGAGAATAACTAAACAATGTCCAACCTAAAAGCCTACGTAGTGTAGTGTATGTTTTGCTCCATTATTGTTCAAATTTCTTAGTACAGTCTCTTAGTAATTAAATAAATCAACTACCTCATAAGCATAA